ATACATGCACCAGTTTGGAAGCCGGTTGTCTTTTCCATTTCTTTGTACGAAGTAGATTTTCGATAACAGCTTGTGTCGGATTATTGGGGTGTCGGAATAACGGGGCGACCCCGTGTCTGACTGTCTGTGTGTTCTCGTGTGTGTCAGAAAGAAACTAAATTGACTAAAAGGTTAACCACATACATCACATCCATACGTTGTGTCAGTGTATGTTCTTGTGTGTGTGTCAGTAAGAAACCAAGTTGACCAAAACGTTAACAACATACATCACACTCATACATTGTGTCTGACTGTCTGTGTGTTCTCGTGTGTGTTAGTAAGATTCTTAGTTGACTAAATCGTTGACAACATACATCACACTCATACATTGTGTCTGACTGTCTGTGTGTTCTCGTGTGTGTTAGTAAGATCCTAAGTTGACTAAATCGTTGACAACATACATCACACTCGTTCATTGTGTTTGACTGTCTGTGTGTTCTCGTGTGTGTTAGTAAGATTCTTAGTTGACTAAATCGTTGATAACATACATCACACTCGTACATTGTGTCTGATTGTCTGTGTATTCTCGTGTGTGATAGTAAGAAACTAAGTTGACCAAAACGTTAACAACATACATCACACTCATACATTGTGTCTGACTGTCTGTGTGTTCTCGTGTGTGTTAGTAAGATTCTTAGTTGACTAAATCGTTGACAACATACATCACACTCATACATTGTGTCTGACTGTCTGTGTGTTCTCGTGTGTGTTAGTAAGATTCTAAGTTGACTAAATCGTTGACAACATACATCACACTCATACATTGTGTCTGACTGTCTGTGTGTTCTCGTGTGTGTTAGTAAGATTCTAAGTTGACCAAAACGTTAACAACATACATCACACTCATACATTGTGTCTGACTGTCTGTGTGTTCTCGTGTGTGTTAGTAAGATTCTTAGTTGACTAAATCGTTGACAACATACATCACACTCATACATTGTGTCTGACTGTCTGTGTGTTCTCGTGTGTGTTAGTAAGATTCTAAGTTGACTAAATCGTTGACAACATACATCACACTCGTTCATTGTGTTTGACTGTCTGTGTGTTCTCGTGTGTGTTAGTAAGATTCTTAGTTGACTAAATCGTTGATAACATACATCACACTCGTACATTGTGTCTGACTGTCTGTGTGTTCTCGTGTGTGATAGTAAGATTCTTAGTTGACTAAATCGTTGACAACATACATCACACTCATACATTGTGTCGGACTGTCTGTGTGTTCTCGTGTGTGTGATTAAAATTTTAAGTTGACAAAAACGTTGATAATATTCATCACATTCATACATTGTGTCTGACTGTCTGTGTCCTCTTGTGTGTTAGTAAAATTCTTACTTGACTAAAACATGTAAAACGTTAACAACATACATTACATTCATACATTGTGTCTGACTGTCTGTGTGTTCTCGTGTTTGTTAGTAAAATTCTTACTTGACTAAAACGTTGCCAATATACATCACATTCATACATTGTGTCTGACTGTCTGTGTGCTCTCGTGTGTGTTAGTAAAATTCTTACTTGACTAAAACGTTGACAACATACATCACACTCATACATTGTGTCTGACTGTCTGTGTGTTCTCGTGGTTGTTTGTAAAATTCTTACTTAACCAAAACGTTGACAAAATACATTACATTCATACACTGTGCCTGACTGTCTGTGTGAAATTTTCTCCCCGGAACGGGGATTGAACCAGGAAACTTTGTTAGTAGTCCGATGCGCTTACATGTACCACTACAATACGGCTCTCAATTCACAGGCACTTGTCTCAGAATTTGTTTTCCAACATACCTTAATACGGCTCTCAATTCACAGGCACTTGTCTCAGATTTTTCCCCTACATATCTTAATTAATATAACAATATAGGATTTTTTTTCTGAGACAAGGGCCTGTGTCTCAATTTCTTTTGTTGAATCAAAAGGCTTGCAAGTCCAATCAATTGGGGGAAAACTGAGCATTTGTAATAAATAATTTTACAAAAAAAAGAGAGAATATAGAAAGAGAGGGCACATGTGGGCTGTCAACTGTGGGAAGGTGGAAAAAACAAAATCCGCAAGGGCTGTTGTGTATGAATATATAAAATAAAAGATGACGTATATGCTTGCCAAAGAGACAAAATGACATAGAAATTTAAAACAACTAGAGGTCATTGTACAATGAGCAAAACTCACACCGCATAGTCCATGTATTCTGCTATAAAAGGAGAATGTAAAACAATTCAAACGAGAAAATTAACGGCCTGATTTATTTACAATAATGATAATGAACGAATAGTTTATTTTATATTATACAAACAATTACAATGTTTAACTCTTTACCACAAACGTGACATTTATAATGTACATCTCCAGTGTGTGTTCTCATGTGTCCCTCTTAGCCACGAAGTTCACATAACTCTCTACCACACACGTGACATTTATAATGTTAACCTCCAGGGTGTGTTCTCATACATGTGTCTCTTTTACATGTAGCCACGAAGTTCATATAACTCTTTGCCAAAAACGTGACATTTATTATGTTTATCTCCAGGGTGTGTTCTTATGTGTCTCTCTAAGCCACGAAGTTTGTATAACTCTTACCGAACACGTCACATTCATGTGGTTTATATCCAGTGTGTGTTCTCATGTGTCTCTCTAAGCCACGAAGTTTGTATAACTCTTACCAAATCCGTCACATTCATGAATTTAATATCCAGTGTGTGTTCTCATGTGTCTCTCTGAGCCACAACGTTCACATAACGCTTACCAAACACGTCACATTCATATGGTTTATCTCCAGTTTGTGTTCACGAGTCTCTCTAAGCCACGAAGTTTATATAACTCTTACCAAATACGTGACATTCATGTGGTTTGTCTCCAGTGTGTGTTCTTATGTCTCTCTCTAAGCCACGAAGTTCACATAACTCTTACCAAACACGTCACATTCATGTGGTTTATCTCAAGTGTGTGTTCTCATGAGTCTATCGATGCCACGTAGTTCACAAAACTCTTACCAAACACGTCACATTCATATGGTTTATCTCCAGTTTGTGTTCACGAGTCTCTCTAAGCCACGAAGTTTATATAACTCTTACCAAATACGTGACATTCATGTGGTTTGTCTCCAGTGTGTGTTCTTATGTCTCTCTCTAAGCCACGAAGTTCACATAACTCTTACCAAACACGTCACATTCATGTGGTTTATCTCAAGTGTGTGTTCTCATGAGTCTATCGATGCCACGTAGTTCACAAAACTCTTACCAAACACGTCACATTCATATGGTTTATCTCCAGTTTGTGTTCACGAGTCTCTCTAAGCCACGAAGTTTATATAACTCTTACCAAACACGTCACATTCATGTGGTTTGTCTCCAGTGTGTGTTCTCATGTGTCTTTCTAAGCCACGAAGTTCACATAACTCTTACCAAACACGTCACATTCATGTGGTTTATCTCCAGTGTGTGTTCTCATGAGTCTCTCTAAGCCACACAGTTCTCATAACTCTTACCAAACACGTCACATTCATGTGGTTTATCTCCAGTCTGTGTTCTCATGAGTCTATTGATGCCACGAAGTTCCCATAACTCTTACCAAATACGTCACATTCATGTGGTTTATCTCCAGTCTGTGTTCTCATGAGTCTCTCTAAGCCACGAAGTTCACATAAGTCTTTACCACACACGTCACATGTATAAGGTTTATCACAGTATGCAATCGCATGTGTCTGCATATCCCATGATTAAACCCTTTACCACATTTATTACATGTATCAGGTTTATCACCAGTGTGTATTCTCATGTGTCTCTGTATGTCCCATGTTCACATCCTTTACCACGAATATCCTGAATATCACATTGACATTTAATCAACATGATCAGTGTGTGATCTCATGTGTTTCTGTAAACCATTACTCTGCATATCATAACTCTGAGTAACTCCTTTACTACATATACCACACGTATAAGGTTAATCACCAGTGTGTTTTCTCAAGTGTCTCTGCATATCCCATGATTACACCCGTAACCACATTTATCACATGTATAAGGTTTATCACCAGTGTATTCTCATGTGTCTCTACATGGCCCATGCTACACCCTTTACCACATATTTCACATGTATCAGGTTAATCATCAGTGTGAATTCTCACGTGTCTCTGCATATCCCATGATTAAACTCTTTACCACATATATCACATGTATAAGGTTTATCACCAGTGTGTATTCTCATGTGTCTCTACATGTCCCATGATTACACACTTTACCACATATATCACATGTATAAGGTTTATCACCAGTGTGTGTTCTGATGTGTCTCTGCATATCATAACTCCGAGTAACCCCTTTACCACATGTATCACATGTATCGGGTTTATCACCAGCGTATATTTTGATGCGTCTCTGCATGTCCTATGATTATATTCTTTACCACATTTATCACATGTATAAGGTTTATCACCAGTGTGTATTCTCATGTGTCTGTGCATATTCCACGATTAAACCCTTTACCACATATCTCACATGTATAATGTTTATCACCAGTGTGTATTCTGATGTGTCACTGTATATCTCATGATATCATCATTTACCACATATTTCGCATGTAAAAGGTTTATCACCAGAGTATATTTTGATGTGTCTCTGCATATCCCATGATTACATCCTTTACCACATACTTAGTATATCACATGTATAAGGTTAATCACCAGTGTGTATTCTCACGTGTCTCTGCATATCCCATGATTACACCCTTTACCACATATATCCTGAATATCACATTGACATTTAATCAGCATGATCAGTGCGTGTTCTCATGTGTGTTTCTGTAACCCATTACTCTGACTATATTCCTTCCCACATATATTACATTTATAAGGTTTAAAACCAGTGTGTGTTCTCATATGTGGCTTCAAGTATGATCCATCACCAAACTCTTTACCACATACATCACCCTTATTTTATCACCAGTGTGTGTTCTTATGTGTCTCTTCAAGTTTGACTCTGAGAAAAACCTTTACTGCATACATCACATTTATAAGGTTTATCTCCAGTGTGTGTTCTCATGTGTCTCTGTAAGGTTGCACTTTGAACAAACCCTTTACCACATATATCACATTTATATGATTTATCACCAGTGTGTGTTCTCGTGTGTCTCAGCATATCACTGCTCTGTTTACACCCTTTACCACATATGTCACATTGATAAGGTTCATCACCAGTATGTATTCTCATGTGTTTCTGCAATTCATCCTTCTGATTACACCCTCTACCGCATACATCAAATTTAAAAGGTTTATCACCAGTGTGTGTTCTTATGTGTATCTTTAAGGTTGTACTTTGAGAAAACCCTTTACCGCATGTATCACATGTATATGGTTTGTCACCCGTGTGTATTCTTATGTGTATATTTAAGGTTGTACTCCGAGAAAACCCTTTACTGCATATCCCACATGTATACGGTTTATCGCCATGGTGTGTTCTCATGTGTTTCTGTATATAATTTCTCCGATTGAACCCTTTCCCACACATATCACATTGATAAGGTTTATAATCAGCAAGATCAGTGTGTTTTCTCATATGACTCTTCAAGTTATGACTTTGACTAAATTCTTGACCACACGTTTCACATTTATAAGGTTTATCACCTGTGTGTGTTCTTATGTGTTTCTTTAAGGTTGAATTCTGAGCAAACCCTTTACCACATATATCACATTTATAAGGTTTATCACCCGAATGTATTCTTATGTGTGTCTTTAAGGTTGAATTATGAGCAAATCCTTTCCCACACATTTCACATGTATAAGGTTTATAAACAGTGTGTGTTGTTATGTGTTTCTTTAAGTTTGAACTCTGAGCAAAACTATTACCACATACATCACATTTATAAGGTTTATCACCATTATGTGTTCTCATCTTAACTTGTAAGTTTGAACTATGGCCAAACTCGTCACATTGATAAGGTTTATCACCAGTGTTTTATCATGTGCTTCTGGAAGTGTTGGCTTTGACTAAATTCTTTCTGCCAGTATGACGCTGCTGTGTTCCAATATTAACTGAACTGTAGGTTGATCAAGGGAGGTAATAACAGATCAAGGGAGGTAATTACAGGTCTATCTGTTTTTTTGTTGTTGTACGACAATATTTTGGTTTCTGTACGCTCTTGGCCACCATATTTTCTCTGAGTTGTCTGGAGTCTAAAAAATTAGAAATTAACTTTAATGATATATACAAATTTCAAAATCTGGATATTTATGTTTCACAAGAATAAAGTCAATATAAAAGTTTACAAAAGAAATGACTTTGGTGTTCCTGGACCTTATTGTTAATAGTTATCAAAGGTACCAGGATTATAATTTAATACGCCAGACGCGCGTTTCGTCTACATAAGACTCATCAGTGACGCTCAAATCAAAATAGTTATTAAGCCAAACAAGTACAAAGTTGAAGAGCATTGAGGACCAAAAATTCCAAAAAGGTGTGCCAAATACGGCTAAGGTAATCTATGCCTGGGATAAGAAAATCCTCAGTATTTCGAAAAATTCATACTTATGTAAACAGGAAATTTATGAAATGACCACATAATTGATATTCATCTCAACAGCGAAGTGCTGACTACTGGGCTGGTGATAATTATTCACTTTTTTTGAACAGCGATTTTTCCTTTTGTCCCTTCTAACATTGTACATATTTCTAAACTCGTTTTCTATGCTTGTCTGTAACTCATAGCTGTCTCATTGTCACGTGAAGGCGTTAAACCAATCACAACGCCTTGTCTGTGACTATCATAGCTTCAGGAACATTAGGAAAGATTACGCTCTTAAAAGCATGGAAAGCCGTGGTGAAGCGGTTAGTGCATCGGACTACTAACACAAAGGTTCCTGATTCGATCCCTGTTCCGGGGAGAAAAATTTCAGGGACTGAATTTTCGGCTCTCCCTTAACAACATATATACATCATTTGCGAGTATGGTCTTGAGAGAAACGACGAAAGTCAGTCGGAAGGGGACAATAAATGGCTGACCCGTGTTAAGAGAGAGCCATATCTCTTGCACGTAAAATACACCCTAGAAAATTTCGAAAAAGCAGACTGATGCCGCTACAAGGTAGCACTCGCACCCGCAACGTGGAAAGGGATTAATATAAGTGGTAATAACTTGTTTCCCAATCCGCTATAAATAAATATGTTTAAACTAAACCCCTTCGCATTCTATATGTGACAGAACCTGTTCAATAAGAACGAAGACATGTTGACCGTAACAAACTATATTTATTAACATTCTATACAGGAGAGTATCATAATACATAACAATAAAGTCCGGATCGTATCCGGTTAAGATATGTCAATATTACGGTATGTGACTGAACCTTTATTTCAGTGCTTGTATTTTAAAAGTTGCCGTCTGACATACTAGTGTTTTTTTTTACTGTTAGGTTGTCAAACGATTTACAGAAAAGGGCGACGACTTACAGAAAAGAACCAAAAAGGACCGAAAATGACCAAAAAGAAGCGAAAATGACCAAAAAGAAGCGAAAATGACCAAAAAGACCCGAAATCAAAGTGCTGGATAGCACCTTTGGAAAGTTTGCAACGGTAGATGTGTATTATTTCAAATAGGTTGTAGATGTGTATTATTTCAAATAGGTTGTAGATGTGTAGTATTTCAAATAGGTTGTAGATATGTATTATTTCAAATATGTATTCAATCACAGCTTTGGTGTTTTTACCTAAACCATTCTCATCAGCAATTATCAAAAATCACTTTTTCATAAATTATGTTTGTCATGTAAAATTTTGATAATTTCTATTGCAACCTTAAACTGTTGATTTAAAATAATCAAGTATATAGAAAGCTCTGTTAAAAATATTTTTGTGCCCATCCCATGTAAAGGGTCTGTGGTATTTTTTATTGATTAAGGTCCTTCATATTTGTTTTTAGTAAATTGTATAATTACTAATTAAGCAGTTAATTTTCTTGTTTGAATTGTTATATATTGAACAAACTCGGACTACATTTGGTAGATTGTGTGGTTAACGTTTTTTTCCAACTTTTATTTTTTTTACTTAATACGAAATAGTTGTAACAAGATGCTGTTATGAAGTCTCTCAAACAAAGCTCCCATAATAATTCCCATGGTTGCCTGACATTGGGCAAAGTCCAGTACAAATTGGTTTGGTCTAGTAAAGGGATATGCATAAGTGGCGACTATGGTTAAACCCTGTATATTTCATACAAATCTTCTTGTAATGGTGAACAGGAATAAATACGGTTTAGGGGTGGGGATCTCGACCGTTTACAAGTTCTAAGAAAAGGGGGGGTGTGGTGATTCTTAGGGGACTCTTTTATTTCATTAGATTTGTTTTATTGTCCCTTACAAGAATATATATATGTTTTGGGTTGGGTATCTTGACCGTTTACCAGTTTTCAAAAAGAAGGGGTTGGGGTGACCCCCGTGGACTTCCCCTATGTTTCATTTGGATTGTTTTATTGTCCCATACAAGAATATATATGTTTTAGGGTTGGGGATTTCGACCATTTACAAGTTCTCAAACAAAAAGGGGTAGGGTCGTGACCCCTGTGGACTTCCCCTATATTTCATTTGATTTGTTTTATTATCCCATACAAGAATATGTAAGGTTTAGGGGTGGGGTTCTCGACCGTTTACAAGTTCTCAAACAGAATGGGGTGGGGTTGACTCCCCCTATATTTCATTTGATTTGTTTTATTGTCCCATACAATAATATATATGGTTAAGGGGGAGGGGATTTTGACCGTTTACAAGTTTTCAACAGGAGGGGGTAGGGTGACCACCAGGGACTCCCCCTATATTTCTTATGGTTTGTTTTATTGTCCCATACAAGAATATATTTGGTTTCGGCGTTGGGATCTCAATTGTTTACAAGTTCTCAAACAGGAGGGGGTGGGATCGACCCAGAGAGACTCTCGCTATATTTCATTAAGTTTGTTTTATTGTCCCATACAAGAATATATATGGTTAAGGGTGGGGATCTCGACCGTTTACAAGTTCTCAAACAGAAGGGGGATAGGGTAACCCCGGGGACTCCCCCAATATTTAATTAGATTTGTTTTATTGTCCCATACATGAATATTTATGGTTAAGGGGTGGGGATGGTGACCGTTAACAAGATAAAAGCACATTCTAAAATTAAAGGGGGTGGGGTGACCCCAGGGACTCAACCTATAATGTATTTGATTTATTATATCTATTGTCATGTGATCATTACTGAAGCCTGAAACCGGGATTATTGTTCTCCTGTCGGGAGGTACATAAATATGAATCTCACCGTCACACGCATGTCTAGGGAATACTGATAAAAGCATAACGTATAAAGTTCAAACTACTGTACATGTATCGTGTAGATGTGTATTAATTACATTTATCGTGTAGATGTGTATTAATTTTGTTTCCGCGCAGCGCAGATCCGCGAAGAAGACTATAGTTTTTGTGATAGCAATTTTCAAAATGAAGTTGAATTGATTTGAATAATCGATGAACATTCACTACATCTTAATTCAAGCTGTAAGCTAATCAAAATAGAAGTAACTCAAAATTTCAAAAGCATCTTCCTAGAATTAGTATTCAAACATTAGTACTACATTATCTAGGAGCAGAACACTCATCCTATAGTAAGATAGTCTGTCCAACTACGGTTTGGGGCCGATGCCTTAGGAAAGTTTATTGTTATAGCAAGCTATAGCAAACTTTCCAAAAACCGAAAAAGGAACCGAAAAGAGCATACATACATATATATATTAAAGTCATATGAAACGGGTGAGAGGTGAAAAATAATGTTTATCTAATTCTTGAACCAATGCATGTATATATCATAAACTTAGTCTTCTGTGCACGATTTTATCATTTTTTACGTAAACATATCGTATAATCGTCATTTTTTTTTTCTCTCTGTCTGTTGATGTGAAAATATGGCAGCTCATTTATTGTCGTGTTTTGAAGCCGTAGTTTATCGATTGTCACCTTAAAGTAAACAATCAACAAAGAGGCATGGTTTTGAGCACGTGTATAACATGTACAATCAGATAATAGTTTATTTCAGTGACAGATCCATGCGTATTGCGATCACCGGATTTTTACGAGAAGGGTCACGCTAAGGTTACTTGCATACGGAAAATATGTCGGCGAATCGCTTCCTGGAAGTAAGCAATTAAAAAAAAGTAAACTTCTTCTAAATGTGGACAAATTAAAGAATTTTCTTTAGAAAAAAATATATGTACATAAGTTTAATAATGAAAACTATCCATTTTGTTATAAAAAAAACATATGCATCATTTTTTTTTAATTTGAGGTTTCATATGACTTTAATGTGTTTATATAATCATAGGTTTGAACGTTGTTTTCAATTTAGACTTGTTTATATTTATTTCGTTTGGGCTTGTATTATATTTTCCCTCCGGTTTATATAATCCGTTCATCCTATTTTGACTCTTTAAAATTCAAGAGTCTATCCTAAATTGAGATAAATTAAATGGCCTTCCAAATACTTTTCGATCCCTAACATCACTGAAGAGAAATTAATTGTCGAAATCCGGATATGGTGTAAAAAATTTAGCACCTTATGTTGTGGTTTACCATCTTTGCCGCAAGTTTATTGTTTTCTACTTGGTATTAAATTAATATAGAGATCCACTTTGTTACACCTTGTGATCAATTTATTTGGCAATCGCAAATGGCAGTCAGCAGGATTTAAGAACATCAGTTGTTCGACCTGTTAGTCAAATGCGTTTTGTTAAATTATATTTCTTCACTCTTTTGGTCTTTTGAAAAATGTTAATTGTGCTGTATTCAGACCCCTCAACAACGAAATTTGTTACATGCAAACGTATAAAAATTGCGATTTTTGTCGAGCCTGCGACTTTTGTCGCAGAAAGCTCGACATAGAGAAAGTGATCCGGCGGCGGCGTTAGCTAACTTCTTAAAAGCTTTATATTTTAGAAGCTAGAAGACCTGGATGCTTCATACTTTGTATATGGATGCCTTATGATATGAAGTTTCCGTCTGTCATATGTCCATTGTCCTTGACCTCATTTTCATGGTTCAGTGACTACTTGAAAAAAAAGTCAACATTTTTTGTAATGATAATTTCTTTCTTATTATGAGTAATAGGATAACTATATTTAGTATGTGCGTACCTTGCAAGGTCCTCA